AAAGGGTATGAGGGCGCCTGTTTCGGGGTCTTTTTTGCAGGCTCCGTGCACACAGCCGGGATAAGGTCGACATAGGCTGCAGTCGGCACCGCTCCAACCCTGCTGACACCTGTGGGAAAAGACGTTCATCTTAAGATAAGCGCAATCAATGGCAGCAAAACTAGGAAGACTTTTTATAAAGTTGTGGCACCGAACGCCCTGAGAGAGTGGAAAGGAATAATAGTGGTACTTCATCGGGATTGATCATTTCTACGCCACAAAACGCCTAATAGTCGAACTACACAGCACGCTTATGGTGTAGAGGCGTGGCAAGTGTAACACAGATGACAACGCTATGTGCTAGTGCCAAAACGAAAAGTTGATTCTTTCCCATCTTCTTTTAGTGTGGCTTTAGTAACTGCGTCTTTATAACCAAAATTTCCAAAAATACATAGAAACCTGCAACGGAGGAGCTCGTCCAAAAAGCGGATCGAGAGAAAAGTGTTCCTTGCTGAGATAAGGATAAAATCGATAGACCGGAACTCACTTGCATACACCGGGGTCGACACATTCTCCATTCTTACAACCGCCTTTGCAAATGGCTAAAAGTAAAAAGATCAGCCGTTAAAGATAAAAAGAGCAGTATTTCTATCTAATTGTTGGATGGCTTTCAATTGCATAAACGATGCGGCCCCAGAAAGTGTATATATCCATAAAATAAAGATTTGCCATGGAAAGGACTTAACTATATGTATATATTTGCTCATTTCATGGCATATCTATTCAAATAATCGAGATATTCCGTGCCACTCATAGTGTGAGATTTAATTAACTTCCTTGTTATGATGCGGCAACATAATTTCGCAAGGATATGATTGCTTGTTGACTTCTGAAGCTTGATGCATTTGTTAGTATATTGGAGAATCCCAGTTCCTCTCGGAATCCACAGATGGACGCTTTGAGTAGGACGACTTTACGTAAGCATTGTTTGTAGTCCCTTATACCCCGATGCTATTACCTTCAGACTGACGGTCGCAGTATGCTCTTCTTCCCTTTCATCTTTCTCGCAAAATAAATAGTCCTCTGATTTAACTTCAGCAAGCAATTACAACCTACCAAGAAAGCATTTTAGCACTTTGGATCTTTTTTTTGCCGTAGCAAAAATAGAAGTCGAAGCTGCTCCTCCTTTGGTGGTATTTCGTCGTCAAGGGAGCAAAGGTTATACCAATATTTAATCCTCTTGTTTTTTCGTGTCATATGCTGTGAGATATTCAAAGTTTCTCTTTGGCTGGGCGTTTTCAAAAGCAATCGTTTGACGAGGGTATGGCATGTAGCCCCAATGAGTGGCTGGTCAAGGGTCTACCTTCTTATTCTATCTAGTGAAGTATGATTCATTGCGGCTTGCTGGGAAATTTGTCACGAAAGAGGTCAGGTGACCTTCATTAGTACTATTGGCTTTATAGTTGCCCATATTGGCCTCAAGGTTATGGTTAGAGCTACCATTAGGCTTAGCATGGATAATTGCAGTTTGGTTAAGCTTAGGGCAAGGATTGCCCGGCTGGTTTGCGTTTTGGCTGGAGGCTAGGGTTGAACTGTTAGTTTAGGGCTAGGATTTCAGGGTAAAGGTTGGACTTAAGGTTAGTTTTTTAAGATTAGGGTTTTAAAGCTTGGGTTAAGGTTACGGTTATGTTCAAGTTTTTGTTAAATACTGACGGGTTAAAGTTTGGGGCCACACATTGCAGGTACGGTCGCTGTTGGCGTTCGGGTCGTGACTAATTACAGATTTCCCAACTGCATTACAAACCCTATTCTTGCCAATTATTTCCATACTGACCTATTTGACCTCTCGGAACGTACAATCTTCAAACCGCAATCTATATAAGGCACTGACAAGCCAGAACCGGACGTATTCCCTGCAGTTTTACATCTACCTGTGTTGCGAAAGTGTATACAATTCTAGCTGTCTTCTAGTTTCGATTTTTATAAATAGTGAAGTTTTCGAAGAGAAACATGCTTTACCCCCTCCACCCCATCCTCTGGATGGGTCTATTCCGAAGGCAAACATCTGACTGCTGTTAAACTGTTACTTAATTTCAATGAATGTCCAGTTTAGGGGAGACTGTAGCAGCAAACTCACGTTTGTCACAATGCGGCCCCTCGTAGCCGGTGGGGCAGAGAATCCCCTCTGATTGAGGCTTACATTCAGGAGGTTGTGCTGAAGCAGTCAGGAAATCACAACTCTGCTCACACAACGGTCCGTAATAGCCGGTAGAACACGTGAACTGAAAAAAAGTAACAATCTTTAGACCGATGCCCTGATGACGCACATTGTCATCAGTCGCTGAATGACCGGATTGTTGGCTTTGTCCCCAGCTTTGGCTCCCGAAAGTCTTGCTCTTCCAATTGTGCAGAGAGGTAAAGTTAACTTCGCTCGAGGGCAACCGGAATAGAAGCTTTGGTGGAGCTGAAAAAGTAGGGAATCAATGAGATCTTTAGGCAACCTCACAGTTCAATGAAAAACTGATCCCTAGGATGATGGGTGACTAGGAACATTGAAACTTCCACGGTTTGAAACAAGAAACGCTAATGAAAAGACTACTGACAGAAATAAAGTTACCCTGCCTGGAGTCCATGTTTTACTTGCAAGATAGATGGCTGCTCTATTTTCCGGTGATCGATGAGAGTTTTAAATCGACGCAGTGAGTAAATCTTAATGCAGAATTGGTCAAAATCGAAATGAAACACTTTTCAGGGAAGTCCTATAAACCAGAAATGCTCGTAAACATATAGTCGAGACTAGGGAAGCGAAGCCCGAATACGCAAGACGGTACTATGTAGCGGTCTTAGTAGTGTTTGTGCTTAGAACACTGAAATCGTCAGGCCAACTCAATAGATTGAAGGTAAAAGGTAGAAATCACCAGAAGGGATGATTTATTGCGTACAGAATTCTCAGTTGCAGTCTCAGGCGGCAGTAACCACTGCAGGGTTTCACTGTGATTTGTTGTTAAAACGGTGTCCTCTGAGGATCCGATATTTACCTGGGATTTTCGCGCTCTATGCCAAGGAACAAGGGGGTCGGGTCAAGTTAAACGAGACGTTTTTTCTGCTGGTTTTTAAGATGTGAAGTATTGCAGACGGCCGAAAGACTATCAAAAGGGCATAGAAACTCAATAGGGGATGGATTAATTCGCAGTGGAGCACCAAGGTTCAAAAGCCATTGGTGCTATACCACAAGTGAAAATGTTTTTTCAAATAAACCACTAAGCATTGTGACACGCGCATTTGAAGTACGTAGCGCAAGACCAAGGACCACGGATGAATTGCTGCAGGCAGAGTCGAATAACAATCAGAGAAGCGTTTCTAAATGGTGTCCGAATCAAGATGGTAGTTCACACTCAATATGCTTTGAATTTACAATAAGCAGGAGAGGAGCGATAATTCTTACGCTTTCAGTTGCTGTGAATATTCAAATGAACAATGTACCCAGTTTGCATATTTGATAATACAGCCTGAAGTGAAAGAGGAATATGAGCCGAAAAAACCAGCTCTCCGAGTACGCTTAAAATTAGCTTCTACGAAAATGGTGTTCTTTTTCCACTGTTATGGATATGGCTGACGATCGTCGGCTCCAAACAACGTTTTGACAACCCCCAGGAGGTTCGATATGAGGAACGCGATCTCATGTGGGTTCCGGACAAAAAAGAACTGCTATTAAATAAATCTGTCGAACCTTTCACTGGAGCGTCACACATCGGCAGAAAGTCGACGAAACACGTGTCTGAGCTTTCAACCAGTGCCTATGCTACCCATAGAGCAAGTTACGCAACATATGCTATTGATAACCTTGCCGGCAAAGGCAAGGGAAACTGTAAGAACCGGCAATATTTTCTGCTTAAACTACTGGCTGCTGGCGGGGCTCGAGCTTGATCCTCAAAGCAGAACGGGCCAAGTGAGTTCCGCAAGCGATCAGTGAAAGTGCATAATCGAATCTGCTACTGATTTTACTTTAGTAAGCAGTAATTAATCGTTTTTGTCTGGTGTGGCTTTGGTTGTGCTGTAGAACACCGCAAGTGCTTAAATAGGTTGTTAAAGTCGCCAGTCTGATCACTAAGTACTGTTACTCACACTTGTTTAATTGTCCGACAAGCGGGCATTCTGTTCCGATTAACCTCTGCACAGGCCGCGTTGATGTCGTACGCATTTTTCCCATATGCAATAGCTCGATGCATACAATAAACTAACTGCTGGAATTCTATAAAAGAAGGACTTTTCGAAAAATTTCCGCCAAGTAGCCTGCAAATATTTTTATATTACAATTTTGTTAAACTGGTTCACGTTTCAGGACCAAAAATAGAGGGTGTTAGCATAGTTTATATGACCGACAGTATGCTTTGCGGTTTTAGCAACTTCTGTTAACTATGAGTTGAATCCAGTTTAAGTTAATATTTGCAACGCCAGCCTGTCTGGTTATAGCTTTAGGCTTTACCAAAATCGTCCGTAGTGCCAGTGTTTTACAACAGGATATCTCAACATATAAGAGATGGCTGACTTTTAGGCCTGGTTACTGAGTACCCTGGTCTGAACACTAACAATCCAGTATAAATTAATATGCCATCTGCTCACGTCCATTTTACTTTGTTCACTTAAATTCCAAGACGGTATTACCAGTTTATATATGTCTTTGGCAAAGAGTATTCCTAGTGGCTGTCTTAAATTAAAGGGACAGTGAAAGAAATTATTTTGGTCGCTGGGCGATATTACGTCTGTGATTTATAGTTCTCTGTATTGAGAAAAGAATAAGATTGATTTTTCAATAGGATGCGAGGTAAATCCAAGGGAATGTTTTACATTTGCAAATATGGGAATCAAACATGGACGACGTGATTAGCTCATCGGGAAGACGAGGAGGTTAATCCTCCCTACTATCAAAAATGAAGGCACACACAAGAGCAACTGTAATGTCTTACCATTTTGTCCAGTAAAATGGAGGACGTCCAAAATAAGTGTGAAATTTTCCTGGAGAATGCAAAAATTAAGAGGATTTAAGTAGTCATACCAACTGGTGACTGATAGAAACTCGATAGAAATCCACTCATCTATAATAATAACTGTATCGCAATTGAGAAAACCATTTAGTTTGACCGGCATTACATTCTTTAGAAATTATAACATAATGGCTTCAAAAATGTCCCCGTTAATTTATGATGCCAAGTCAAATGCATTGATTACTTCAAGGTTTGGGGCTATGTGTCATGTTTTCACTGCAACGCTATAATATTATATTTCGGCCTTCTGAGTAGAAAAGGCTCAACATTAGATGGCGGATATTTTTATATTGTACTTATAATTGGTTGACTTCCTCCATATAGGAAAAATAAATTGCAAGTCATCTGGTCTAGATAGGATCCGGGAACGAATCCTTGGAAATATATCCTGAAGGACTGGGGTAATATTGAGGCGTAGGGCTTTCTTAACTCATGTTTTTCTGACCGGTTCATATCATTATATAAGAACAGCTCAGACTTCAAAATTACATGTAAGAAATCATGTTTTTAAGTAGCATCAAAATACACTCGACTATCGCACTATAGAGTATTCCAACAATAAATTTAGGAATGATGTATTTGGAAATCTTACGACTTATATTTTTGAGATGGTGCTTTTCCCAGCATGGAGATTTTAGCACTATATTTTATTAAAATTAAGGTTTTAGGCAAACCTTCAAATAGTTCTGACAAGCATGCTTTCTGGGTATTGACTCATAATTTACTTATGATATGTTTTTGGAAAACCTGTCACATCAGAGTTTAAATGCCACTACCTAGAGAGGAAGTTAAAAGCAAATTTTTACAATAGTTTCGATAGCCATGTTATTCAATTTTTCGATAACAGTAAAAACAAGCACTAACAACGATTATCCACTTTCAAACTTTCATTTGTTGACTACAGTAACGGCTTGGTTAATTGCTCTGGTCATACGTTAATGAATGTGCATCCAACAATTCGCTTAAAAAAAGCGCTGCGGATATTTTTGCTTTTTAATTAAACTCCGATTGAATCTGTCCCTTATAACAGGCTTAAAGGGAAGCAACTGAGATAAAATGTAATATTTATATATATTAGGGAGTATTTATAAGCGTGAGTCAGCACGAATCGTCAGAAGACAAACCAGCTCAGAATATAGTTAATGTCTATAGTTAATATTATCGAAAATTCAACAAAGGCATCGAGGATTCTGAGTAAACTATGCTGGAATACATAGAGCTTTCAAAAAAAGGATAACTGAAAAATAGTTTATCTTGGCCCACTGAGAAATCACGTCCTCCGTGCATGACTATTCAACGTTTAAAATGAAAGATCAAAAATGCCGTCTTCAAATATTTCCCGGTTACGTAGCTCGACAGTCGAGCCGACGGGGCCTCTTGCTTGCAGTCTACCTTATGGAATTTTTTCTCGACTGTGCAAGTTCACAGATTTTCTTTATTCTTATTGGAAATGTCGTAGCTGGTAGAAAGCCGCGCTCAGAGATTGCCTTTAAAGTTGCACATGGCGGCGAATCTCCATTCTTCCTTCATCCCTTGCACAATGCTTTAAAACACTCTCTCATACAATGGATAACCACACAAAGAATTACAATCTTCTCTCCGTTTTTCTCCTAACGCAGACAGTGAAACTTTCTTTGCCCCTTACGCAGCAGTCAGCGGGATAGAGACTATGCATTCTTAACAGCAACTCCTAGTAAAACCATTTTTTCTTCAATTTTTGATTGTCTGTCCTATAAGTAATGAGGTCTCTCATACATGGCTGAAGCCCCGCATTATATTCCTCCCTTTAGAAAATATTCTTTCGTCAAAGAACAGAAAGCAACGGCACAAATAACGTTATGATATGATTGAAGACATTTGAAAGCGGCTTCTGTGAAATTACCTTCCATTTTGTTGGGACAGTAAAACTGAGATTGAGGAGAGGCCCCTCCGGCCGAGTTGCAGGAAGTCTCCCCTCTGAATGTCCAAGGGGACAAATTGCTTCTTGTTTCGCTGTCCACACAGAATGGTACTCTTCAAGACATATCTAGAAAGCAGAAAATAAAGATGCAGTGCATTAATACGCTTGCCCGGTTTTCAACCCTCAGCGGGGGATTGCAATGTGGATGACTTATTTGCAGAGGACTCCACTGAAGACAGGAATTTCGAACCTACTGCTACAGTGGACTATTCCTGCAGTTATTTTGCAGTCCTCATTCAATAGGTACAACTGCGCCATAGGTACAACTGCGCCATATTTATTTGTAGGCTTTACAGAATCGCTTCCATCGGGTAAATGCAACGCTA